AGTAGCGTCGATATCGAGGTGAACGTGATGGATATCAATGACAATCGTCCGGAGTTCATTGGCTACGATGATCAGACCAAGGCGATCAAGTATATAGCTGATCTGGCAGATCGCACCATGATGTTGCCTGTCTATAAGGCGTATCTGGATCGGAGCACGCTGCCGGGCATGTTTGTCAAGCAGGTGACTGCCATCGACAAGGATTATGTGGGCAACGGCAATGGACTGGTGCTCTACTCCATATTGCATCAGGAGCTGCATGCACCGGTCTTTCAGATAGATTCCCGTGACGGCACCATTACCACGGTGTCCAATATACGGGGCTACAATGATTATGAGCATCTCAATGTATCTGTGATTGCCTCAGATCTGGGCAGTCCAGCGCTGTCGGCCACCGCCGTGGTGCTCATCAATTTGCAGGGCCAGGCGGTCACTGAGCCAACGCCGCCACCCAAGCCAGAGATTCCGATCAATGTGACCATATTCCAGCATCCGTACTATGACGTCCAGCTGACGGAGAACAATGAGGCGCCCATTGAGGTAATGCGTCTGAACCTGACGGCTGGCTTGAATGCCGAAAACTATCGCTGGTCACTGTGGCTGGAGGAGGGTCTGGACGAGTCCGATGCGCATCCACCGTTCGAATACGATGCCAAGAATATGCTGCTCTACGCCCTCAAGCCATTCGATCGGGAGCACATCGCACGCTATCAGCTCCGGGTACGCGCCGATCGCCTGAGTCGAGGAGCACGCAACTACGCCAAGGTATCCTATCCGGTGGTCGATGAGCGCGTCGAGGGTCTCTCGGCCAGTGAGTGCCGCATTGTTGTGCGCATCGCAGACGAAAACGATAATTCACCCAAGTTCCGCGGCAACGGGCAGCCAATTGTGGCCGTGCTGCCCCGCAGCGCCAGTTTCGGCTACCACGTGACCCGCGTCACAGCCACGGACGCCGACGAGGGCCTCAATGCCGAGATTCGCTATCGTCTGCTAAATGAGCCCACCCGACTCTTTGGCATCGATGACCTAACGGGCAACATACGCCTGTTGGGCGATCTGCCGCTGGACGAGCGCATCTATGGCTTCGATGTGAAGGCCACCGATCGCATGGGTGCCGATGACGGACGCAGCGGCATTGTTAATGTCTTTGTGTACATCATAGACGAGGCCAAGCAGGTGCGTCTCGTGGTGGCCGGCATGCCGGTGGATGTCGAGCGTCGCATTGACAGCCTAATGGATGCGCTCAGCTCTGCCATTGGCAAGGATGTGCGCGTGCGGCTGCTGGAACCCAATTCTGGAGGAACTGAAGTGGCGTAAGTTGAGCCAACAAGCCATGTTTAGATTCTTTCAATTAAGGTGAAATCCTTGAGTCCAAGTCTTAGGAACTATGGGTCATAACAAAGTTTTTGCTCAAACAAACTTCTTGCGGGTTTCAAGATGCCTGCACAAAATATGGCACCCATCAATCTCTCATATATACGGCTCTTCCAAGAAACCCTTTTCTTAAGAACCCCTAACTTAAGAATTGCGAGCGTTACATTTTAATGAAATCGCACAATTATATCACATACATAGCTCCGATTGGTTTCAAAGTCTTTCCCACTTTTCTCAAATAGTTATGAGGTCTCAACGGATGATATCTAGTCTTCTTTATACCAGGAAATGTATTATTGAACTTCGAAATTGCTCAGGATCTTAGGAAATATGAAATAAAAAACCCAACTCTTTTCTATAAGCATAAGATTAACATCAGTCTTTATCTTTATATATCCCTATGCACAGCACCAATGCCTACATCTATGCCGTCGATCCACACACCAATTCCATTGTGGAAATGGAGCAGCTGCAAGAGTAAGCTATAAGTCCACTCAACCGGCTGGAATCCAAAAATGATTAATTTCTATGATTTTACAGGTCTCTGGCCGGACTGCAACTGGATGCACTGCAGCTGCAGCAGCTTCAGCACCAGCCAGTGGACAGCAGCAAGACAATGCCGCGCATCATCGAATTGGCCGAGTTTGGGCAGACGCCGCGTCCCACGCACGCCTCCGCCTCCGGCTTTATGGGCGGCCTGGAATTGGTGACTTTGGTGCTGCTGGCGCTGGCTAGCCTGGGCGCGCTTGTAGCTGCCTGTTGTTACCTGTGCATGCGCCAAAAACGGTAAAACAAAAAACATACATATAAAACTTGCAACAGAAAGACTGCCAAACGGGCGCTTTAATGTAGCTCATAGATGCATTTGTGCTATCCATAGATATTAACATACAAACACATACACATACATATATACATGCTTAGTCTAAGGCCGTCTAATAAATCTCTTTAAGTGCAGATCAAATGACTTAGTTGTTGTTGTTGTTGTTGTTGTTGTTGTTGTTTTTGGTTGTTGGTTGTGCTCTGGAAAACCGGCTGCAGCTGCCGATCACCTGGCCGTTGGAATTCTAACTGTAAAAAAAAAAATTACAACGCACAACAAAAACAACATCAACAACTGCAACTGCAGCCCAAACAGCTGGCAATTAAGCTAAGCTTCTCCAGAACTGTTGACAACTGCCACTCAAATGTGAATGTGAATGTGAATGTGAATGTCAAAGCCATTTTGTAAATCTGATCATATCCTCTCTCTCTCTCCCTCTCTCTCTTCCATCTGCTTGCAGTCAGCTCTGGTCACAGCGCGACTTTGCCGCCTCGGAAGCCGGTCTTGCCTATACCATAGCCGGCGTCAACCAGTCCCGGTCGCAGCAGCGACGCCAGCGCCAGCGCCAGCAGCGGCACACGCAGCGCTGCAGCAAGGGCAGCAGCAACATTGGACAGCAGCGTCCGACAAGCGGCTTCTTGAACGAGTCGGTGTGCTCCTCGGCGCAAACCCAGTCAACGGCAGCGGCGACAGAGAAACTGGAACAGCAGTTGCATCACCATCACCAGCAGCAGGCGCTGGTCACACAGCAGCAGCATCATCAGTACCTGAACGAGTGAGTAGCGGGCGCCAGAAACTGGTTCCAAATCAAGCCAAATGCCTCCAATTCCAGACAGCAGCAGCAGCAGCAGCAGCAGTGCCCGCGAGAATATATAGACGTGCCGCTGCCCAAGTCCATTGCCAAGGCAGCGGCCGCGGCCGCGGCGGCAGCTACGGCAACCGATGCGAATGCTCCATTTGTGCTCAAATACAACTCCTGTCAGCCCGTCAATAATCTGTAAGTTCAGCTTGGTTAAAGCCAGCCGTGGTTGAAACGAATTCTTTTTAGCAACAACTATGAAACGTCGCTGTTCTCGCTGCACTCCACTGGCCAGGATTCGGGCGTGGAGTTCCTCAGCAGTCGCGAGCTGTATGAAACCTCGCCGGACTCCTTTCAGCACAGCGGCTCCAAGCGGATCAGCAATGCGGAGCTGCTTTGTCCCAGACACGCCAAGGCGCACTTGGAGCTGCGCCAGCAGCCCCACACGGACAGCAGGTGGGTTGGCCTTCATCCAGACCATCAGCTCAACTCAATTGGCTACACATGTTCGCTTTCCATTGCAGTGATACCTACGAGGATTCACTGAAAACGGATGAGCCGCTGGTGGCGCACAATTGCCGCAACGGCAGCTGCGAGCATCGTGCGCATCAGCATCAGCATCAGCACCAGCATCCGCATTACCAGAACACCAAGTTCGAGAAGCGCTCGTCCTGCGTGCGGCACTCCTTCTCGGGCGTCAAGGACGACCTCATGCAGCACTCGCCGCAAATCTCGCTACGTCCACGTGGACACGCGCTGCGCAACTCGATGAACGATCTGGAGCAGCGGCTGCACAATTTGGAGCAGTCCTTTCGCCGACCCCTCGAGTTCAGCAAGTCGAACTCCCTGTTTTAGCTGTTAAGTGAGCCAAGTGCAATGTTTAGTGTGTAGCTCCTCCTCACTGATAAGAACCAAGTGCAATAAATGAAGCTTTCTTTCCTATGTGAAACAAATAAGAACAGCTCAGTATCCGAGATTCTAGCTGTCGAAGTATTTGCGAAACTCCAGACAACCCGCCCAGTTGACATCCCAGCCGGGTGTTTCCACCTTGGCCTGTTCGTACCCTCTGGCCACATTGCCATAACGCCCAAAGTCGAAGCCAGCCACATCGAAGGAGGAGACGCTGGCCAAGATTGATATATCCGCCAGAGTTAGGCACTCTCTGTCCCTCCAGCAAGGTATTCAACAGCTCAAAACGAAGATTGATAAGCGCTTGCGTTTGTATATCCTTCGGATACAGGGTGCTATCCTTGCCATACTGCTCCACCAAGTATACCATTATGGCACGCGATTCCCACAGCGCGAAGCCCTCGTCCACCAGGGTGGGTATCGTGTGCTGTGGATTCATTTTCAGGTACTCCGGCTTGAATTGGTCACCGGCGCGTGTGTTGATTAGAATCAAGTTATTAAACTCAATGCCAATTGCCTTGGCCGTCATAATGACCGCACGGCAGGGCGCAGATCCGGGTCGATAGTAGAAGTCCATAATGCTATTGAGGCGTATTCAAAAAACAAACATTCATACTCATCAAAAGCTGTCACAAAGCGAAAACAAAAGAAAACCAGCTGAGCGTCGCAAACATTTCGAGAGCTTCACTTTCTTTGGATGACATAACACAAATGTCTAAAAAAAAAATGTCAACAAATGTCTATAATATTCACCTGTTTTCGGGTTTTCTCGCTGAGCAACTGAGCCAAGATCTGTGCTTTAAGACAATTTTATAGACAGGCCTCAGGCCAGGTGATAATTAACAAAATTATTGTATTTTGATTCGCCAAAGAGAGCTGTATTAAATAAATCATTCGCTTCTCTTTGAGTTACGCTCAATGCGCCCCCTTAACATACCCTGTAATTAGCTGTTTCAGCCCTCAAACACATTCGTGCAAACTCAGCTGCTGTTTGCAAGCTGTACATAAGTATTCGATATCTTATCGCACCTGTATTCTAAGATACTCAGCGTTATCAGTACCCCCCAGTTAACAAGTGATAAAGCGACTTTTAGCTAACTGATAAGACGAAGTAGTCAGAGTCGTTGACTCTTTTCTATTTCAGATAGAGCGTGCATGGCAACAATAGGGTATATCTAAGGATAATCGCTATAGCTGCGACAAATACAATTTCTTGTAGTACAAGCAGCCCTCCCAGTTTTCCTCCCAGCCGGGCAACTCTTTCTTGGCGTTCTCATACCAATTGGACACATTGGTGTACTGGCTGAAGTCGTAGCCAGTCACATCGAAAGTGGAGACGGTGGCCAAGAGCGCAAAATCAGCCACAGTTAGGCTATCTGCAGCCGCATACTTCTGGCCCTGTAGCAGGGAGTTGAAGGCAGCGAAAGCAGCATCGATCCTCTGGAAGTTCTCGGGATCGGCCGGCTTCTTGACATCCTCAAACAGTTGCGGATAATAATAATAGACATAGCTCTGATACAATGTGCCCAGATCGAAGAACAAGCGATGATTGATCAAGGCTCTCTGCTTGGCATCCTTGGGATAGAGTGCATCATCCTTGCCGTACTTTTCCACCAGATACAGCAAGATGGCACGTGATTCCCACAAGGCAAAGTCACCATCAACCAGCGTGGGAATCGTGTGCTGTGGATTAATCTTAACAAACTCTGGCTTCAGATGATCACCCGCATCCAGGTCCACCTGCTTCCTGTTCAGCTCCACACCCAAGGCCTGCGCCAGCATCAGAATCGAGCGGCAGGGCGCCGAGTATAGCATATAGTAAAAGTCCAGCATATTAACTAGAACTAAGAAGTATCAGATTATTATAAATTCAATTATATTTAATAAACCACAAACGATGTGATTCGAATTTCTGATTTGAATTTTACTTTTGATAAACTTGCCTATGCCGTGTTGTTGTGCTCTTGTCCTTATATAGTTGGCTATAACGGATTAAATAGCTGGAATTCTTTTCGTAATTCACAATTTGTATTTTATAAGAAACTTTTGAGTATTTGTAAGCCATAAATATTAATGCATTTGTTGATTTACAATGCAACAACAATGGGATTTTAGAATATTAAATGTGCGGCACACATCAAATAACTGTTCTTTATTGCTCTGTGGCCCACATTAAAACAAAAAAAAAAACCAATTTAATAGTTTTACCTACTCTTTGAATGCAATTGCGTCCTTCCTGTTTATGGCGTGCACTTTTGGCAACTGATGTGAGATATTGTGATAGGGCACGGCATGCATCGAGAGAGTAACAGAATGAGAGCAACCGTTATAGTACACTTTGCTAAGACAAATGCGGACTTAAAGAGAGAGAGAGCAAACACATACACACACTCTGTGTAAGAGCTCGTTATACAATTGCCAGCTCTCTGGGCAATTTATTCATCCAACCATGTACTATTATAAATTATGGGTAAGCCCACCCCGCATAAGTACAGTTAACCTGCTCGTAGGCGGGCAGCCACAGAGTCGGGCAATTCTTGTCCGCCCAAGAGTGACTTATAAATAGTTTAAGAGAAAAGCCAATAAGTTTGAACAGTATATATACTAAAAGTAGTTTATCTCTTAAATTGTACTCAGTAAAAATGAATACTCTTTTATTTTAAGCAAAAAAATTCATTTGCACCAAACTCTCGCTTGATACAAATTTGCACACAACATTTGACGATTTCAAATCGTTTTGTGAGTAATTATGAATAAATTATTATATAAAATATAATACTCGCAAATGCTTTAAGCTTATTCGAAGTATTTCTTGAATTCCTGGCAGCCAGCCCAGTTCTCATCCCAGCCGGGACACACCTTCTTCAGGTTCTCGTACCACTTGTTCACGTTGGCGTACTTGCTGATGTCAAAGCCAGCCACCTCGAAGGTGGACACGCTGGCCACCAGGGCAATGTCGGCCACGGTGAGTGAGTCACCAGCGGCATAGGTCTGACCCTCGAGGAAGGTGTTCAGGAAATCGAAGGCAGCCTCGATCTTCTTGAAGGCCTCGGGATCGGCAGGCGCCTTGGCAAACACCTGCGGATAGTAATAGTTGGCAAAGCTCTGGTACAGCGTGCCCATGTCGAAGTACAGCCTCTGGTTAATGACGGCGCGCTTCTTGGGGCACTTGGGGTACAGGGAGTCGGTCTTGCCGTACTTCTCCACCAGGTAGACCAGAATGGCGCGCGACTCCCACAGTGCGAAGCCATTGTCCACCAGAGTGGGAATAGTGTGCTGAGGATTGATCTTCAAGAACTCGGGCTTCAGATGCTCGCCGGCCTGCAGATTCAGCAGCTTCTTGTTCAACTCAACGCCAACAGCCTTGGCCACCATGATGACGGAGCGGCAGGGCGCGGAGCCGGGCAAGTAGTAGAAGTCAGCCATTTTGTTTTACTATAATTAGAAGAGCACACAAGACAAACGATCATAAGAGATGCGATCCATAATTGAGCAAAGACACACAACAAGAATTTGGGTCCATAATTATATTGAATATCGCGAGATTCGTAGTCCTCCGATGTCATAGACATTATATACATATATTTGCGGCCTTTGCTTTAACAATTGAGTTTTAGTTATTTTTCATTGGTTTTTTCCACACATCAAGTACGTTTTTTTTTTTTGGCTCAACAAGTTCTTAGACGATACACAGACACAAAAACACAGTTTTATACATACATATATTTAACACGCAGACACTTACGTTTAGGATTGTAGAAAACACGCGGCGCACTGTACCAAGTATCAAGCAACACTGTTGGCACTCTAAAGAGACGTTCCGCTTTTATAGACGCCCGCTGTATCAGAAACTGCGAGCGAGCGGCAGGCGGCCGGCCGCTATAAAACCGGCAAACAAATATGAACATAGGTATCTGCTGTTCGCGGGGAGCGCAGTACATAAATGCACACACGCTTATGTATATGGTATAGGGTATATACAAAGTAAGCTGCCATAAAGAGCGCGAGTTGTTTTCGCGTGTTTGCCGTTGCTTTCGCGTATTTGTTATATTTGTATGTATGAGTGTGTATGCTTGTACGTGTCAAAGCTATAAAACAAATTTATAAAGAGTTGAATATGCAGCAGATATACAAACATACATACATATGTATGTATCAAAATTGTAAATTCATAATAAATACATATGTGCAGCAGATACCCTTCACTTGTGTGTGGTGCCACAGAAAGCGGCAACTTTCTAATGAACTTGTTGCACCACATTGCGGATCGGCTCAATTTTTGGAGGAATCATTTGGCTGCTCTCTTTGCTGCCTTGGTGCTCTCAGCACAGCATTCTTTTTGCCGCCTTTTTGCTTGCAAATTTATTCGCATATTTGTTTGTCTCTCTTTGCTAAAATTCTCTACTATTCAATTATACATACATGTTTCTGTGCCTGTGTGTGTGTGTGTGCTATACAAATGGGTGTGCATATAATATAAACAATATTATATTCAATTACGTACACTATAAACCTTTTTTGTTTATCGCTTTTGTGTGAATTCTTTGCCAGTTGTGCCAGCTGTCGAATCGAACTTAATGCACTTGAGATTATATTTGAAAATAATCACAGCAGCTTGTTTGTCGAAACCAGCACAAATATTTACAAACACATTGATACAGATGTGTATATCCAGCATAAATGTATATACATGCACACATACATACGCATGTAGTGCATGCCTACATACATGCTTTGGCAGTAATGCATTTATCGCCCAGAACTACAACTGTGCAGTCATACAATAACTGTGAACTATAATACTGGTACATTTACCAGTAGCCTTGAACGTATCAAATTGAGCTTACATATATACATGTGCATGTATATGTATGTATATGTATGCTTAATAGTATAACACTCTGTGACGGCCAGTTGCCCACGCCTCTGACATGCAAACGATTAAGAGTAAAAGCTTTCCAAAAAAGGTAACTAAAGTATGTATGTATGTGTGTAGGTACCTAAAATATATTGACTTTTCATTAATGGTGACCAAAGCTTACTTTGCTAATGGTGATTACTGGGGCTAATTGCAATACTAGCTATGTAAATGTACATTAACTAGTGAATACAAAAGATACTCTCACACTCTCACAGTAAATATTGCAGGTAAAGTCACGCAAAGTTCTAACAAGACATACATACATACATAATTATAGATCAGTATTCAATGATCCTATCATTATCTTAAGAAGCATTGAGGTCACTTTAGAAGAATATCGCTAAGTCTTGTGGTCAAATATGTATGTACGTAATATCAATAGGTACGAAAAATATTTATGGATGAGCATATATGATGAAATTCGGAAGTTCCTGCATTCTTTTATAAATCATATGTGACTTGGCAAATCATTTGCACATACGACTCGAATGTTCCATGGGCATCGCGGCCTGTTCCAAACATTGTGTAGTTTTTATCAGTTTCACAATTTGTAAAGTTTATTATAAGCATGACATTGCAAAAAATTAATTATAAACAACGCGAGCATTTGCCGGCTCTGTGGAGTACACGTCAGGAATACCGCAAACGGAAACCAACAACAAGTACAAATACACTAGTTGAGACTGCCCGACTAGAAAATACCCTTTGTCTGGCGTATAGCTCTGGTATTTATCTCTTGAGAATATATATAGTAAATGAGAATATATATAGTAAATGAAATAAAAAATATTGCCTCTGTCATGAACATAAAACCGACATACCTTTTTTTTTCTTTATTTTGAATAAGCATAGGGTATACAAATTGGCGATGCGTCAGCATAAAAGAGCGAATGAGTGAGAATTAGCAGTTGAGAGCGTAAGTTTAGTCACATCTCCAAGCCCCAGAGTAGTCGAAGCATTCAGAAAACCCCACAGCTAACAAATGTAGCAGAAGAAGAAGACACCGGCAGCTTACTCATGTAGACATAATTTAAAGATTCAATGGAAAACATAAACAAAAGAAGCCACCAAACAAGTGGTTTGGGTTTTACGGGCGCTAAGAGATGACGAACAGCCGAAAATGTAGAGAAAGGTCGCGGCATCTATGCTATGAACACAATTCGGCTGTCCAGAGAACCAGTTTTGCCTACATTGACGACGCGTGCGTCATACGCTCCACCCGAAAACAGATCCCTATGTGAACAAAGAGCATTGACAAGCGAAGAGAAGCTGGCAATAAGAGATTTTTAAAGAGAGTGAACGTTAAACAGTTTGAACTTGTACTCACACCCTGTAGATATAAAACTGGCTGAGGAGGCGAACAAATAGTGATTGAAATTTAAGCACTGACAATTATTTAACGATCTAACAATAAATTAAAAGTTAGAGAAATACATATAGTGTATGTTTACGTATAGGGTATATGCAATTAAGGCCTATTCTGACAATTACAATGTGTCTGAATGTACATAAAGAGCAGATACTTACAGGGTGTGGTTTAGCTGATCAAGCATTCTTGCTTGCCTCATTTGAATACTTAGATGTATTTATATATATACAGTTTGATATGAATGTATATTATATACTTGAATTGTTGTAGATGTAGGAACGCAGTCTTATAACAGTTCGGTAGCTGGAACGTGAGAACGGTTATTCTGTAAAGTCTTTAGAATTCGTATATCTACAGGTAATTTGTAAGTTGTATTCTCATATATATATATTACATTTTGCTGTGTGAGTTACACCTACATATATTTGTATAATGATAAGTGGCGATAACTAAGAAATAATATTATCAAATACACATAGATACATACAGATGCACATACACGTGTGTGTGTGTAGCACACACACTCTTACACCTGTTCGTTGATCTATGTTTAAACAAAAATAGCTCAGTGCCGGTTCGTTTCACCTAAGCAGAAAACAGACGACGGAATACCCACTGGCAAGATGGACTTTTATTATTTGCCTGCCTCAGCGCCATGTCGTGCCGTGCTTATGGTGGCAAGAGCGTTGGGAATTGAACTTAATAAGAAGCTTCTAAACACCTTGGCAGGTGAGCAACTGACACCGGAGTTTGTGAAGATCAATCCGCAGCACACGATACCAACGCTCGTGGACAATGGCTTCTCGGTGTGGGAATCGCGCGCCATTCTTGTTTACCTTGTGGAGCAGTACGGTAAGGATGACGCGCTGTATCCCAAGGATCCGCAGGAGCAGGCGCTGGTTAATCAGCGCTTATATTTCGACATGGGCAGCCTGAGCCAGAGCTTCGCCGACTATTATTACGCACAGTTTCTGCAGCACAAGCCAGCAGACCCAGCACAGTTTGAGAAGGTGAAAACATCATTTAGTTATCTCAATGTCTTTCTGGAAGGTCATCAATTTGTTGCGGGCCCTAAATTAACTGTCGCCGATTTTTCCATTCTGGCCACCGTGTCCACGTTTGTTGTGGCCGACTTTGATATCAGCAAATATGCCAATGTGGCCAGATGGTACCAGGCAGTTAAGAAGGTAATACCCGGCTGGGATGAGGGCTTAAACGTAATGAAAGAGTGGATTGACGCTAAGCGAAAGGAAAATGCCAGCAATTGAAAAACTATTTTTATGTAAACATATGTGCATTGTATTATCAAGAACTTAACAAATTAAAAATCATCAATGCGAAAAGTTTCTACAAATTTCCAAACTAGATATGAGCTACATAAAATAATAATCTATAATTTCTGTGTCCACAATCGATCAAATGGTTTCTAATACCCAACGAATGTTTGAATTGTTTAAACCCAATGACGAGCAATTTTCGAAAAGCCAACAAATAACGACCAAATGGAACGCGATAATGAGACACTCACGTCACGCCTTATCTGTGCATTAGCTTCTACTATATTAGCCCCAGGCCCGACCAACTGAATTTAGTAGTCGCTCACACTCTGACAGCGCCAGACACGACCCACCAAATCGTAAAAATGGACTTTTATTACTCACCTGGCTCGGCGCCCTGCCGTTCCGTTCTAATGACTGCTGCCGCGGTGGGTGTCAAACTGAACAAGAAGTTGCTGAACACCAGCGAACAGGAGCAACTGAAGCCGGAGTTCCTAAAGCTTAATCCGCAACATACGATTCCAACGCTGGTGGACAATGGCTTCTCCATCTGGGAGTCGCGTGCCATTATCGCGTATCTGGCTGAGAAATACGGCAAGGACGACTCGCTCTATCCCAAGGATCCCCAGCAGCGTGCTCTAGTGAATCAGCGGCTATACTTTGACATGGGCGTGCTGTACCAGGCCTTCGCCGATTATTACTATCCCCAATTTCGCTATAACAAGCCAGCTGATCCTGAGATGTATAAGAAGGTGGAGTCTGCCTTTGCGTTCCTCAACACCTTCCTGGAGGGTCAGCAATATGTGGCCGGCAGTAAGCTGACAATTGCCGACATTTCCATTTTGGCCTCGGTTTCGACTGTTGTTACAGTGGGCTTCCCCCTTAAAGACTATCCAAATGTCGCCAAGTGGTACGAACATGTCCAGAAAGTTACTCCTGGCTGGGATGAGAATCTAATCGGCTTGGAGAAACTCAAAGAGCGCATGGCAGCCATGGGCAAGAAATAAATTCTGGCCATCTTTAATATACCCATATTTATGTCTACTATAATATACGTACACCTACTTTAGTTTAATCCGTGACACATCACATCATATAATTAAAAGCGTGTTCTTAAATAAAAAATAACTCAACCAGTTGAACTAAATATCTACTATTTATGATTGCCAAACTGTTATTAAAATTTATACGGTAGAGCGATTTTAAATGGGGTCTATCAAAACGATAAGCTCTGAAGTCAGCTTTTACAATGGTGCATATTTATTTTCTCTGGAGAGCTTAAATGCCTGTTTTGAGTATAATTCCCCATTGAGTTCGCCTTATACTCGTATTCTACTTTAGTTAAGATGTATATGAGCTTTACTGTACTTCCAAGTTTTCTAAAATAAAATCTTCTACTTATATATATGTCAATAAATACTCCGCAACATCTAAACTTCTTTTCAAGTACAGACTTAAAAATGTGTGAGTAAGCACGAGTATTTACATATTTCACAATTTTTGAAGCTGTTAGATATGACTACTCTGTATTTCACAAGCCACAGTTTGAGAGTCACTGCAACAGTTTTTTTTATATGATACATAATTATATATCATGATCAATGAATGCATGTGTGTCTGAATGTTAACTTAATTATAATAATAGTACTTAGTATTAGTATGAAGTATATATTTATGGGAGTATGAGCTATTAACTAGATATTTATGAATGAATATTTTTAGCCAATTCAGATTTGCTAGTATACTTTATATTAAATTCAACACTTGTCAACTTAATAAACTTTGAGTACAGAAGCAAAAATCTTGATAAATAATTGTTAGATTTTAATACTCTAATTTTGTCGTAAAGCGTGTAACGCATAGAAGGAGACATTTCCAAACCGATAAAGTATATAGATTCTTGATCAGTATCAACAGCCGAGTCGATATAGCCACATCCGTCTGTCCGTCTGTCTATTTTTATGCGTACTAGTCCCTCAGTTTTAGAGCGTTTTTTATGAAACCTTGCAGAAGTCCCTCTTTCTGTTGCACGCAGTACATATGACAGCTGGATCGGACCACTATATCATATAGCTGCTTTTTTGTTTCCGCAGCGCTTCTTAGATACGAGCAAAGCATTATGAACAGGTTGGATATTCGATCTTCGGCGTGCCAAAGATAGCCCTTCTTTCTCGTTAAATCCAAGAGAACCATGTTAATACAATTCTTTGATGCATATTAAATAAATGCCGTAGCTTAGAGCTGGGCTATTGCATTATCAATTCTAAGTACAGAGATAGTACCGATGACTCAAACTTGATTTTACGCATATACGCTGGGAAGTGAAAGTAACAGTGACAAACATTATTTGATAAAAATCACGAAATTATAGATAATAGTCTGTGGCTCCTGTTATAAAAAGAGAACCGTGTACACCTTCAAAGTCAGTCAACACTTATTATTCAAGAGCAAAGCAAGCAATTTCAGTATGGACTTCTTTTATATGCCCGGTTCTGCTCCCTGTCGCTCAGTTATAATGACGGCAAAGGCTTTGGGAGTGGAGCTCAACAAGAAATTGCTGAACGTCATGGAGGGTGAACAGCTGAAACCAGAGTTTCTAAAGATCAACCCACAGCACACGATTCCAACGATAGTGGACGACGGCTTCGCGTTGTGGGAGTCACGTGCCATTCTTATCTACCTGGTTGAGAAGTACGGCAAGGACGACTCGCTCTATCCCAAGAATCCAAAAGAACAGGCTTTAGTTAATCAGCGGCTATACTTTGATATGGGAGTGCTGTTCAAGTCATTCTACGATTATTACTCGCCACTCTTTCGACTAAACAAGCCCGGAGATCCTGAGGACTACAAAAAGGTTGAGTCTGCCTTCAGTTTGCTTGACACCTTCCTGGAAGGTCAGCAATATGTGGCTGGCAGCAATCTGACAATCGCTGACATCGCTATCCTGGCATCCGTTTCGACATTTGTTGCAATGAACTTTGAACTTAAGAACTATCCCAATGTTGCCAAGTGGTACGAAAATGCCCAGAAGGTAACACCCGGATGGAACGAAAATTGGGAGGGCTTGCTGCAAATGAAGGAATGGTTCGAGGCTAAAATGAAGCATCTAAAAGCCTAATTTCTCATAAATATACAAATTATACATTAATAATATTTATATTTATTTAAAACTTTTGTATTGATATACGTTCAAGAAAGTAAAAATACATATTTATGGGCACACATCAAGAAGTATTATGTATTCTCTTTTTTCTCTCTCTTTCTCTTTGCGTATTTCTGCCACTCTTTCCGACTAGGTTTTCGTGATTTGCTTCGGAGTTTATGGTCCGATCTTTATGGTATTTTAAGCATGGTATTCAAATGTGTGCAAATACCAAATGCGAAATACCAATGCGAAAAATGTAATTATGGGAGAAACTTGGGTATCTAAAATTGAAATATTCACCTTGTGTATATAAGTATTATTCGAGAGTATACCCACCAAATTTGGTGCCTTTAGCGCTTAAAAGCAACGAGATATTGTTTAAAAAAACATGATTGGGACATGATTAAAATCTTAAGTAAAAAGTCCTAATATTGATGCTGATCATAAATATGTCAGAGATGCTTCCATGTGTCTGTTGCATACATGGGCATAAAACTGATATGCCCATTCAGTAGTTCAGGGTATAAAGAGCACGAAATAATAGATAATTATTTGTGTGCTATTGCTATAAAGAGAGTGGCAGCCACACGCTCAAATTCAGTTAGCGCTAATTTCTCAAGGGCTGAACACGCAATTTCAACATGGACTTAGTAGTAGACTTACTATATGCCCGCTTCAGCCCCCTGCCGTTCAGTTATAATGACGGCAAAGGCTTTGGGAGTGGAGCTTAACAAGAAATTTCTTAACATCTTGGAGGGTGAGCAGCTGAAACCTGAGTTTGTTAAACTTAATCCACAGCGCACAATTCCAACGCTCGTGGACAATGGCTTCGCATTGTGGGAGTCACGCGCCATTCTAATATATCTGGCTGAGATGTATGGAAAGGACGATTCGCTATATCCCAAGGATCCAAAGCAACAGGCCTTAGTTAATCAGCGACTTTACTTTGATATGGGAGTGCTGTTCAAGTCGTTCTACGATTATTACTCGCCAATATTTCGTCTAAGGAAGCTAGGAGATCCTGAAGACTTTAAAAAGATAGAGACTGCCTTTGGTTTCCTAAACACCTTCTTGGAAGGTCAGTTGTATGTAGCTGGGCACAATTTGACAATCGCGGATATTGCCATCCTGGCCAACGTTTCGTCATTTGTGACAATGAACTTTGAACTTAAGAACTATCCCAACGTTGCCAAGTGGTACGAAAATGCCCAGAAGGTAACACCCGGATGGAACGAAAACTGGGAGGGCTTGCTGCAAATGAGGGACTTTTTTGAAGCTAAGACAAAGGAAATAAAGGCATAAATGATGTTTTCTTGGTATATTAAGAAAAATGAAATAAAATAATTATGAGCATATATCTAGAAGTGAAAACATTCACATGTATATAAACCATGGGACTTACTCCGCTGCGTTTCTTACATTTTTCATACAAACTTTAACCACATTTTCGCTCCCGTTTTAGGCCACTCACATGGAAGCCTTAGGTCAAATTTCAGCTTCGTAGTTGAGTTGTCCTTTATGTCACTAAGTAAGGACCAACTTTTTTATGAATCCAAAGCCAAATAACTGCCTGCTTAAATATAAAATATTGTAACAATTTCGAGTAAAATTAAAAATATATATTTATGTATTTCAATTCTCCTTGGTATGCAAGCAGATACTACAATTTACATCAAATTTCATCACGTTCTTCAGTTAGCGACAATAAAGCTTCTACTTTTACTCCGAGTCCGGTTCGACTAGCTTCTGCAGCTGGCGATATTTGTGGATGGCGTTGCGCACAAATTCCGTGGTTCGTCGCACGCGTTCGGGCGTAATCTCCTCGACCAGCATGCGACCCACATCCTGTGCTCCACCGGAGCGTAGATAGTTCACAGCCTTGTTGGGAATCTCACAGATGGGCGTCAGCCGGCAGAGGGCATTGGTAATGGCACCTCCAAAGAGAATCACACCCACGGCGGAGAACACCACGGCCGCAATGCGAAACAGCGTAGACATCAGTATGGTGGGCAATAATCTGGACGCAAAGGCCATCAACGGGTTCAAGACGGGGGGAGGCCCAGCTGAAACCGTTGTGGTCACATCTGAGGCACTATCGGAGCCAACTTGATTTGTGGGCACCAAGAAGCCCTCGTAGCCGGTCTGCACCATAATGGGACCCGGATAGGGGTAGATACCAGGCGCGCCTGTCATCGGCGATGGGTAGGCCGCGAGCGGTGCCAAGCCCGCTGCACCACCATACTGGTTCAGATACTGATGAAACGCCTCGGGCGTGATGAGTCCGCTGGCGTAGATGGATACCGGCTCATTGCTGCTGGCGCTGGCCACATTGTCGCCCGACTGTAATAGAATAATGTGAGCTCCTTTTCTATAAGGTGTGCTTAGTTTGACTCACCACTGTTGGATCCTGCGCCTCAGTGGTGCTCGTAGCCTCTATGCTCGTGCCATTGGCATTGACCAAACCGGCATCACTTAATGCATTCGTTTCTATGTTCGCATCCGGCTGCTTATCAGACTCCTCTATGGTATTGGCGGCTGTTGCAGTGGGCGCAGTGTCCAGCGCCGGCAGCGTGCGCGCCTCGAAGAACATCATGAGGAGCAGCATCAGGCGCAGCGACATGTTGAATTGATTTCTATAGCTCATCTTGAGGCACTTGCTTCACTTCACTTGCACGGACAACTGTTCAAGATACTTGCGCGGCAATGCTCTTTATAGGCATGATCTAGCTAGGAATACCTTGGCCATTTTAATGGCCTGCTAACCTTGTTCACCGGGTTGTCCCTTTTGCAAATAATGTGGAATTTTCCAGGAATTTGATGGTTAATGCATTTGGATTTTTCGATAATTTCTAAAATAGGGATTGTCCAGAGGCTTACCTGCACCATGAACTGCACAGGTAGCTAAGCAGGAGTCCTGGGTAATTTTTGCTTTACAGTCGCAGTCGAAATAAAGTGCCTGGTGCCTGTTTGGCTGATTGCCTTCAGTTGCTTTTTCATTTCGCTTTGCCTAATAAAAGGAGACAGCTCGAGTTAGTTTCTAAGTGGCCACGAAAGTGCTAAAACTTTGCCCACTTTCAGTTTCGGGCCATTGTTTCGCCTGCCCACCCCGGCCAAGTTTTTGAGCGGCACTCAGTTGGAAAGACTTACAGCAATCAATACCAAATAGAACCCGTAGCTACAACAAATTATGTAGTAGCTTAATTTAGAACGCAAAAAAAAAAAAACTCACACAAACACGATATCCTGACCGAGTTTCGGCGGACGCCCCCAATCAAGCTACTATCCTACAGCCCGGCGCCCACTCAACCGCCCCAAGCGCCCACTCAGGTGAGCACACATTAGCCGAGGCGACGCTGTTGTCGTCCAGGTAACGCTCGCTATGAAAACTAAACGAATATAGCAAAACAAAACAAACATGAAACAAAGCACCGAAGCAGCCACCGATGACATGAAAATTCTGAAAAATTCAAACAGGCAGGCGGCGACGAATAGTCACGTCGACAACTAAGCACACAGCGAGATTATATCACCATCATCATCACAGCCAAGATTGTGGACCTGGACCGGCGCTCCGTCGAGGCGACAGTAGAGCTCGACACTCGTAAGCACACTGGGGAATTGCATAGACATCGACTCCGTGGCCGTAGTGCAGCACAAGCTGGTGCATAAGATTGTGTGAGTATGCAGCAGGTGGGTCATAAGCTTTCCCATATCAATAATGGATTATTAATTGAGGCGAAACGGCTGCAATTAATATGTCCGTGATAAACTATGTTTGGCTAACTGCAAATGGCCAGACGGTCACATACCTTGTGGATATGTTTCTCTCTGTCTCTCGCACTGTCAAAAATAAAACCAAAAGTTTCTTAGTTACTTGATTAAATATGAAAATAAAGATAGCTAGAACCAGATCTACAACATTACGCCTGGCTTGGGCTTGGAAAACTTTTGTTAATGACTAATTAATAAACTTTCGACTAGTTACACAATAAACTTAGTATTCCATAAGTTAAGCAAACGCCTTTAGCTCAACATTGACCTTTGCAAGTCCTCTTGTCTTAGGCTATTATAAAATTTCAAGCAATTTACATTCATAAAACATTCGAAATCGATGCATTGATTTTCTGCTGTACGCACGGCTATGGGCCATCATCGTATTGCTGGACAATTTTCGAATAGCTTTTTAGTTGTAACTGATGAACCGAACGGAACAAATTGTAACCGAATTTGTCTACTGCCTACTTATTAGAGGTGGAAAAATGTCCACGCCAGTGCTGTACTATCTGCCTCCGAGTCCGCCATGTCGCAGTATTCTGCTGCTGGCCAAAATGCTCGGTCTGGACTTTGAGCTGAAGATCGTCAACATAATGGAGGGGGAGCAGCTGAAGCCCAACTTTGTGGCCATGAATCCGCAGCACTGCGTGCCCACAATGAACGATCAGGGACTGGTGCTGTGGGAAAGGTGAGTGCTGCTTTGACACAATTGATGCAATTCAATCATCGTTACATGTATCCTTGCAGTCGCGCCATACTCTCATATCTGGTGGCCGCCTATGCCAAATCTGATGAGCTTTATCCCACGGATATACGCGTACGAGCGCTGGTGGATCAGCGTCTACACTTTGATCTCGGCACGCTCTATCAACGTCTCACCGACTTTTATGTGAGTATCTAACGGTGGACTAAGTAATATTCTCATATCTGCCTGCTACTGTAGTTTCCCACAATGTTCATTGGCGCCCCACTGGACGAGGTCAAACGCGCCAGACTAACTGAAGCCGTCGGCTGGCTAAATGCAATACTGGAGGGCCGCGAATATGCAGCCGCAGATCATTTTACAATTGCAGATCTGACACTTCTCGTCACTGTCTCCCAGCTGGAGGCCTTTGATTTTGAGCTAAGACCCTTCAAACATGTCAAGCAATGGCTAGATCGCTGCAAGGAGCATATGGCGCCCTATGACTACGATGAACTGAATGCCAGCAAGGCGTCTATGTTGGCCGACATGTTCAGGGCGAAAATGAATCAAACAGGTGGATCCTAATTAGCTACAAATATACATAATATATCAAATACCATAATATACTCATGTGAATGTTAATGTTGTACTAAATAAATACAATTTGTTTTGCTTAAGATCCTGATTAAAACTTTTGTGTCCTGGATATCTTCAGAATATGTATCTTCAGGTATATATAGTGAGTCAGTCAGGACAAGCTCTTTTAGATATACATATATATAGATACATGATAAATGAAGTAGAAGATACAGATATTTGTAGAAGTGGAACTAGAAACAGAACTAATATTATCAATTTATTTTCTATGTATTTTCGCTTTAATTTCATTGTTTTAATATTTGCCAATCCTAAATTAAACTAAGCTAAATTGGGTTAAGAGTTGAGGTACTCAAGGGCAATAGAATGCCTTAGACTTTTTTCAAGATCGAGAAAAAAGTGAATCGTTATCAATTTTTTGCCTCCAGCGCACTGATAACTGCCAATCATAAAAATATGAAATCCACTTATAAATAGCTTACCAAAGTCACAGTTGTGGCTGCTGCTGCCATCCACAAGCATGGAAGGTGGCAGAAACTAACGGCTGGGCGTTGGCGCCACCTGCAGCAGGGGAGGCAGCCGCCTCATGAAAACCTCAACTGAAATTTCATGATTCGAGAGAAAAAGGTGAGGTGGCACCGGACTGTGCCGGACTGTTAGGGTGTCGCCCGGTTATTTTTAAAGCACACAAGCATCCGCAGAACTGTGGCCATCTGGCAGGATAACATCGCGACGCTTGGCACCTCGCTTCGCAGTTTCACTTTGGCCGCTGGAGATGGCGGCCGTTTGTTTAACTTTGGTGCTCGCTCTGATTTTGGCCAGTGGTCAACGCGCTGCTGGCAACAAACAGTCGCAGCTATGGCTAGGTAAGTTGCGGCTGGAAGGTGGTCGTTGCGAATGCATAATTAATGGTTGGCCACGCTCTCAGACTGCTCCTGTCTGCACGCCAACGAGCGCAATGCCACACAATGGGGCAGCCTTAGCATAAATGCTAGCCAAGCGCTGGGCGCCAAAAACAACTGTCTGATGATCTTCATTGGCGGCATGGCCGACGAGCTGGTGGCCTTTCAGCTACAGCAGCTGCAGCTGCGCCCCGGGTGAGTAGCACTGCTTCCGGTCATAGTAAGTCAGCCGTATAGTCGCAGGCGACCGCCACCCGCTGCCAGGCGTGCCGCATAACGAATCCAAATCGATCGGAGATCTGGATATGTCGGCCAGTGGCAGCTGCGCGACAGCCATCAAAACGCAGTGTCCATCGAGGAAATTGCGAATGCAATGTAATTAAAATACCTTGTGAAGGCCACTATGGCCGCTCATATGGGGGGTCCGTGGAGCCGTGCCCGGCACGCCTGGTTATTTATATAAATGGTATACGCGCCCGCAAATTTGTGTCAATTTATTTGAAATTTGCAGCTATTTTAGCAGCATTAAAATACGCAAAAAGAAAATAAATTCAAAAAATTTCAAAATCGATTTGTCAATAAAATTGCTGAGCACCGGCGCCACAAATTTCAGTGGAGCTTGGGCAGAGCGTTGAGCACAACGTTGGCCGCAGTCGTCGCGACAAGTTTATTGGTGGAAAAGTGAAATATCGCTAGTAAATCGCGTGTGAGTCGCGTGTGAAACGCGTGTGAAACGCTTGTGAGTAGCTTGTAAAACGCGTGTAGAATCACTGCTGAATCGCGCTGTTCAAAATGTCGATGGATCCTTCGGTTTCACTGGAAGATCTGGAACGTGTGAGTTCACATAAAATAACCGTAAAAGGGCAGGACGAGATTAATAGCAACCTCAACCATGTCTGTTCAGCGGCGTCGTCGAGCCAGCTCAGTGCGGAAGGCTTCGCAGACGCCGCAGCCACCACCGCAGCTGGGAACAGACTCGGAGGCGATGGCCGTAATCAACGAGATATTCAATCCCAGGCTTAAGCTGCCGGAGAGCACAGGCCATTACCGTCTGCCCGAGAAGCTAAGCGCCGATGATCACGTATCGCCGAAGGATCTGGATATTGCCAAGCTGGCGGAGCTGAAGGAAGTAAGTGTTGGTTAGAAGACAAGCCTAAATGCTGTTGATCGCGGTTTTTGCAAAAGGTGTTCACGCTCTTCGACACGGATTGTGACGGTCTGATATCCAAAGAGGATCTGCGGTTCACCTACACGGCGCTCGGTAATGAACCCAACGAGCAGCTGCTGGAGCAAATGATGCAGGAGGCGCACGAGCCTTTGGACTATGAGGCATTTGTACAGCTGATGTGTCGTCGCACCATAGAGCTGGATCCGGAGGAAGTGCTGCTAGAGGCCTGGAGCAAGTGGGATGATTACGGCACGGGCAAGATCGATGAGAGAAAGTGGGTGCACTGCGCCTTGTTGCCTTGTTAAATGCCTCTAATAGCAAACACTTTCTAACACACTAGAATCTATGAGGAGTTGACCAATTACGGCGACAAAATGACCCTCAGTGAGGCAAAGGAGGCGCTCAGCCATGCGCCCATGGCCAAGCCCAAGACACTGGAAGAGCCGCCCATGATTGATTATCCTGCATTCTGTCGCATGCTCGGTGGGATGCGTAAACGCAAGAACTAGTAGCTGGAGGCGTTGAGATGCAAGCAGAGTTACAAACTGAAATGTTGCAAGAATTTAACTCAATTTCATCAAGTTTCTATAGTATTGCTTATAGAATATACCATTATGTTATTGTATTTTGAAATTTTTTCTTTTGCTTTTTCCCATCATAAATTATCTCTTTATTAAAGTGAGAAGGACAATTAATAAATTGAAAATTTACGTTTTTAATTGCCTTGAATTTAATCAATCCTATTGGCAATGCCTCACATTTCTAGCCTCTCAGAAGAACTAGCACACATTTTGTTTTTGCAGCAATTTGTGGCCATTTTGATTTGGTTTCTCTGTGTTAACCTTAACGCCAACTTTTGTTAGACTTTTTATCAAAATAAATGGTGCGCAACCAAAGAGAAATGCAACATTTTATTTAATGGCAGCTCGCTGGCCGCTTGCCTATTTTTAGGCTGACCAACGAGCCGGCCAAGCGGCCAGCCCCACGGCTATCGGCCAATAAATTTTCAACATCATTAGATTCCGGCCATTTCGGCCATTTTGCAATATGATTAGCAATGCGCTGTAATTTTTTTTTTTTTCTTTTTCAAAATGCAATTCTGTGACAGCTGCTTGGACACCGTGGAGGTCTTTCCGTATCTGCGCGAGCCCGTCATTGAGAACTCGACGCTGTCGGCGTATACCTGGTGCCAGCACAGCACGATGTCACGCAATGCCACGCCTATTTATAGCGCCGGCAGGCTGCTGGGACTGCGACTAAGCTTTCGGCAGCCGCCCACAAAGTTGGCCGACTGGCCGTTGAATCTGACGGCGACCTATCGATTCCTAAAGCAAGGTGAGCAAATGTGCACCCAATTAACAAATTAGTTCACATTGTGTTCATGGGCCGTATTCTTTTTGCAGAGCTCTTCAAGACAAACGGACGGCTGGTGCCGCACAGCTTTTGCGATTTTTATTTCTTTGCCAGCACCGGAACTGAAGGCAATCTGGGCCAGGGCTACTTTCACTCACCGCGCTTTCCGGCCCATTATCCGGCGCACATCAAGTGCGCCTACAAGTTCATTGGGCGTCCCGACAGTCGCGTGGAGCTGCTGTTCGAGGAGCTGCAGCTGCCGCCGGTGGTCAGTGGCGGCTGCCAACTGGACGCACTCACCATCTTTGATGCAGAATCGGCGCATATGAACGCCGTTATTGATGTGCTATGCACTCCATGTCCCACGCGCCGCATACTAAGCAGCGGCCCAGATCTGCTGCTCGAGTTCAATGCCAGCTCAAATCGCACTGCCAAAGGATTTCGGGGCAAATACAAGTTTGTGCCCAACGAGCAGCAGGCGCTGCCTATGGCGCCTATACTCGAGGCAGCTAGCATAGCATTCAAGCAGCCGCCCGCCATGGCAAACAGTGTGCAGGAGGAGGAGAAGAAGGATGCTAGCCCCGGACGCACAAATCGTAAGTTTGGCGCCCCATAAATTAGCCATAGATTCTGACTCGAACCTAAGGACTCAATCGAATTATGCTAATCGCCACCAAATGGCGGCAAACTTCTTCGCTGGCGGCGCAATTGCCGCAAATGCTGGCAGCTTCCGCCTGTCAGTCTGTGTGCCAGCCGGAAGGCAGCGCCCTCGGCAGCGGATGTGGCCAATTTACTGGGGAGCCAGGGGGTGGGACAACTGCCAGATGCCTCGAAGTCTTTGACTGTCAATGCTTAGTCTGTTTGAAGCTGTCGTCTAGTCCAAATGGTGCGCGCGGCGCTGTTGACTGCGCTCTGTTTAATAGCCGCCATTTGGCTGGCGTGTCCAACATTATTCTGCGCAGGACTTGCCACGGGCAGTGAGTGTGTCTAACTATATTTAGCCAACTATTTATTTAACTAGTTTTATAAAGCATTACTAGAGCCTAGAACCTAACTAGGAGTTTAAGCAGCGACCACAAAATGGCAGCCGCTCCACTGCAAAGCACAAACTGCAGAAGCCGGTGGAGTATGTAAAATCTGTGTAAAAGAAAAGTAATTTTGTTTCAATTGATAGAATTTTAAAGAATTAGAAAGCACGTTAGCATACCGTATCAGTTTCCTTTTGCCCCGCTGCAGCGACTCATCGCCGGGCTCCTCCTTAGCCAGATAGATGCGCATGCCGCCCAAAGCGCGATAGAAGTAATCATCCCAGTCCAGACTGCTCATATCGAACTCAAAGAGCTGTTGATCCTGTGCCGACAAACGCTGCCGCAACTGTTGAGTATTGCGCGTCTCGAAATACCAGTTGGAGTCCACAAATGGCGACAGGACCTCAACATTCTTGTGTATTTTCTCGTACAGCTTAAGCATGCGTGGTCTTCGGCCTCTCAGGCGCAATACCACATCGATGCAGTAGCCGGGCAGAATGTGATAGAAGAAAGCGGCCAGCTTAAACAGCCAGGGTGTGGTTGTGGTATGCAGAAACGGCAGCCATATCATTTTGGTCAACGGGTACATATGGCCCAGGCTTTCCGCTTTTCGCTTAAAGTCCCC